TGTTTTGTGTACAGTGTACAGACCTCATTAGAACACCATTCATGTCGAGTTCTGTCCTCAGATGACGTTGGGTTGACCAAGGGTTGAGACACATCGTCATGGCGACACTAAAAAAAAATACAAAAATGAAACAGGTACATACTTAGGAAAGTGTACATATGTGGGTCTCTGAGGTTAGTTCAAGAGGCCGACTGCACACATGAGAGGGCGGTGTAAATAATAAGGGCTCAGTTAAAAAAAAAAAAAAAGAAAATAATCTCTCTCAGCCCTGTGATGAGTGATGTTTTACACCAATGTAAAATCAGAGGATATACATCTGCTTGTTGAAAGGCTCACGCTGATTAGTGACGTGTTCTTTGTGCCGTTGCAGGGTGATGTCTGAATTTACACGTGTTAAATATGGAGTAAAAAGTAAAAGTGTTTAAACCTATTTTTAAGTAAAAATAATAAGTATTTATTTATATGTTATATATTTTTAAATACAAATGAGCAAGAGGGACCAGACTGGGAACGAGGCCACCAGAGGAACAACTAAGGTTGAAGAGCTTGGAGAGAAAGTTTTAAAAAGTCAGGTTTGAGATGGAGGGGAAGTGGAATAGCCTGAAGATACACTGAACAAAAAGGCGGAGGAGAAAAATAGGAAGAACAAGATCTGACAAATCAATTAAAAATCTCGTTTCAAAATTGATCTTGTGTTGTTATGTTGTTATAATGCATCTGTACACAGTTCTTTTGAAGGAGTAAAATGCAAACAGCAAGTGCCGTGTTTATACCAGTGTGTCAACTGTGTTATTGTTCATTATGCCTCAGTGGATGATGCATCCTCCTGTTGGTTAAATAAACACTGTATAAAATTGCCAAACAGGCTAAAATGGCTACATAGCAGTATATGTATATGTGATAATGCAGTGGCAGCGCAGCTTTCAAGTCTTGTACTTACAGATGTTTGTGTAACCGTGCAGTCGTGAGTTGAGTTTCGTATGGACTTACTGTGTTTAAAAGTTTTGGGGAAAAAATAAATTAAAAGGAATTCTGAATAAAAAAATCTTGCTCCAGTGTCTTTATATCTGAGTCAATTCTACATGAAACTGTATTATTATTGTTACATCGTGACAGTAGACTGTCTATTCTAGGCAGTCTATTCCATTAATATTGTTTAGAAAAAAATAACTATTAATATATAAATAAATAACGTATCAATACATTATTCCCTGAGAACCAATATGTAGAAACTGTTGACTTTATGAGGTATTTGTGGTTAGGGTTGGACCCAGAGACAGGACACTAGGTAAGAGTTTGAAAAGATCATTCAGCGAAGGCAAGGTTAGAAACACGGGTGAGGATTTAAACAGTCGTAGAAAAACAAGAAGACACAAGGTGTTCCCTGTGTTGACCACAGTCCACAGAGAATCCCACTACAGTGTGAACTGCTCTTTCAACAAATCAAATACTTTGAGTAGAGGGAAGTGTCAGCTATGTGTAGGAGACAGGGGAGGAGTCAACGACACACAGGTGCAGAAGGTCGAGCAATCATCATGGAAGGGAAACAGGAAACAGGAAGTGGGGACAGGTGGAGTCAGACACCGATAAGTAGGGGAGAAACACAAGGTAAGACACAAAGGCAAACACTAAAATAAACAATATATATATATACAGTATATATATTTGCAAGCCTTTCGTTTTTTGGCCTAACTCACGTATATATATATATATATATTTGCAAGCCTTTTGTTTTTTGGCCTAACTCAGTGATTAGCTAGCTAATTAGCTAATTTGCTGGTGGAATATTTCATGATTTTTTTTAAACCACCATTTGGATCATGTTTGCTGGTCATTTGGCTGGAAACTGTGATGGCAGATACAGTGATAGTATGGTTTAATGTGTGTGTGTTTCTTATACATATTTAGAATCCAAACAACTTCTACAAGAAGGAACATTTGCCATATGTAAATAAATTGTTACAAAACGGCAAATGGAAAAAAAAAAAAGAAAATCAGTGGATTAATGAATGATTATTGTAACAACACTTTAATGTCTGTTAAACCGTGACTAGCATGAGAATTGTCTTCCCAACGGATTAAGTTTACCTTGATCTCCGGGGGCCATTAATGCATTTACCTCAGGCCATATCTGTGTGTGGTCTGCCATTACAGCTGGGTGCAATTTACAGTGGGATTTCCACGGAGGACGCATACGTGCCATTCTGTCTCCCAGAGCTATTTACTGGGAGAGCCTGTGCCTTTTAGCTCCTCCACAGCTGCAGCTCTAATCCCCACACATCCGTGGAAAATTGGTTGACTTACCGTCTCCCACCTTTCGCTGATTGTTAAGAAACGTATCACAACAATGTAAACTGATTAGACTTAGATTTTAATTACCTTTTCCACCTGGAGAACCACAGAACATGCACTCACACTGAGCAATGACTGGTGAATAAAGTTCTCACCAGCTTTTCTAAGATTGATGTGGGATTTGTTAGGAGCCTAAGAATCAAATAATGTAAATGGAAAAGATAAAGATAGCATACCAGGAAAAAAAAGAAAAAAAAGAAGCTGGATTGTTGAAATTGAACATAGGGACGTGTGTGTGGACAGAAAAGGCTCAGTAAGAAAGAGGAAGAATTAAAAACAATAAAATGAATTTAAAAAATTGAATTAAAAAAAAACATTTTTAATAACTTATATATTATGTATTTATTTTCTCCCCTTTCACTTCTCCCAGATAACCTCAAGTCTCTTTATTGTTTTGTGTGCATGGTGAGAATACCTGCATCTGCGAACATCAGAGAGACAGCGAGAGTCTGTTCTTCACAGTACAACACGGGGACGGAAAAAAAATGCACATCTCCAAAATGGATCTAAATCAAACTTTCTTTGTGCAACAGACAGACTTGTTGTTCTGCGAGAGGTTGGCGAGGCTCATGCATGATGAAAGGAGGCAGATTGTGTTACAATATCACTGTCTACAATAACTGTGTTTAGCAGTTTTCACTTCTTAAAGACTCAAACTTCCTTTTTCTGTCATTTACAGGTCGACCCAGGCAAAAAAAAACAACCCAAAAACAAACAAACAAAAGAGCAAATGGAGGCGTGCTGCCAAGAAGACGTCACGGTGAGATTTTGTCACCCTTTTATATGTTTGTCACTAATGATGTCCGATAAAATCGGCCGACCGATATCATCGGCTCGATATTAGCATAATTATGTAATATCTGTTCGAGTCGTCATCGGTTTTTCCTCCGATAATGAAAACCCGATAATGCAGTGCCTGGGTTTGGTCAAATAATGTGTGCCCTAAAAATAGTTTTGGGGATAAACGGCTGTATGTTAAAGTGGAAGTCACTAGATGGCAGCATTGCAGCATTTATTTTAATAATCAGAGGATTGTATGCAGAATGCCGATACCAGCAACTCATAGAGGAGAACATGTGCTGCCAGTCACTGTAGCACAAGAAGGTGAAGTACTTCGACATGTGACATGGTCTTTGGTGTTTCATTGGTGTGGTAACACATGGTCATGGGCTTGAATGTTTCACCTAAAGTAGGTCAGCGATAAAAGTGCTAGGTTTGTAATAGTTGGACTCAGGTGTGTTGAGTGGCCCCATCACACATGCATGTGAATTTACAGGATATTCTTCAATGGTAATTTAAATTACAACAACTTTCCAATTGACACAAAATATGTTAATAATGTCATAACTTCTGAAGTGAACACATGTAGATCTCTGGTGATTTCCCAATGAGCTCCACCTTGATTCTTCAGTTAATTTAATTTGTCATATGCATTTGTACCTTATTAACCTTTACTGATATATTTGGTTTGGTGCTTTGGCCCAGAGGCAACATCTCCTGGGCAAGTTCAAATCCCAGTTAGGGCGGTTGGTACCTTCCAGTGGACTCACCACCCGCAGGAAGGTTCAGGGGGGTTGGTACGGTGCAGCGTGATTTGGGTGGTGGTCATGGAGACTGCTGCCCCCACAACCTGATAACGGATAAGTGCATGAAAATGGATGAATGGATGGATGGTATATTTTGCAGTGTAAGACCACAGTTTTCATTGTTCTGCCCCTCTGGGTTTTGCGGCTGTTTTTGCGTCCAAGACCACACGTTTGCAGGATTTTTTTTTTTCTTCAAAACATTAGTACTAATCTGAAGAACTCTTACACATTCACAGCAGCAAAGAATCACCATGGGAGGTACCAAATACATAACACCTACACTATGGAACCATCGATAGATAGATGGATGGATGGATGGATGGATGGATGGATGGATGATGGATGGATAGATCTTTATTAATCCCTCAGGAGTGTTCTTTGGGAAATTAAGAAACCTTTAAACAGAAGTGAAAGAAAAGAAACAACTGTCTTCATCTCCTCTTCATCCAAGAGACTTCTTCAGTTCTAAAATTCTAGTATTCTCAATACAGACATCATCAGGTGAACGTCAAAGTCATCCGTCTTGTCCATATGTCGTCATTACGTCGGGCACTCGTGACTTCACCGCTGTCGTTCAACCACTGACGCCATTCGCAAAGAGAAAACCATAAGCGCGTGACTGTGTGGGCGCAGATTGGCTGTGACACGGCCACAGATGGGACTGTGTGGTACGTCATGCATATATATATATATATATGTGTGTGCGTCTAATATATCTAATAGTGTGAATAATCAAAGCATCATGGAAGAGGTTCAATCAGATTATTTTGATCCCCAGGGGTAAATTCTGTTGCATTACAAACAGTGGTTCCACAGTGTAGCGGTTAGCACGCCTGCCTCGGAAGCATAGAGCAGGGGGTCCTGGGTCCAATTCCCAGAGGAAGCACATAGGTGGCGCCTGTTGCATCAGATCTGATGTTAGCACAAGAATTTCCCAAGTGTGGGATCAATAAAGTTTAAATTAATATTATTATTATTATTAAACTTCCTATGGGAATTAGAATGTGTCCTAAGAAAGTAACGATTAGATGCAGTAGAACAACAGCAGCTAACAGACACATCTACATCTGTACAGTTATAAAGCTGTGAGAGCAACTGATGACACGTCCTGGTGTCACCTTGAAACACACAAAAACTGCTCCTGTAAGGATAATCAAGCAGTTATCTTGCCCCACCTGTTGGCTGATAATGGAATTACACATTTCAATCAAGGCAAATTCATGTGGTCTTAAATGTTTCCACTTTAAATACTTCTCTGTCATGATGATAAAAAAGAAACCACAGGTTTTTGTTGTTTTGGTTTTTTTTTTCTTGGTAAAATTTATTTTGCAAGTGCTTAGGCGATACATGTTTGTATGGATTGTCTTAACAATGATGTCCTCTGTCCCCCCAAACAGGAAAGGCAAGGGAATGAAATATGACGGGTTTTTTTATTACTTATCACAGACTGTACAGTATGTGAATACACGGTATCACAAAAGATAGAAAAATGCTTAACTAAGATCCTAACATTCCGCCGCGACATTTCCCTGCCTTACCTCCTTAGACAGAAGGCACCGGCTCAAGTACTCAGGAATCCCTTTGACTTTATACCTTAACTCGGTGTATTCTTGGACGATGTCACTCCCTCAGTTGTGGTGATACTGTATTCAAACGACCCTGCTTTGTGCTTCCATTCTCTCATAATCAATGCATCATCATCGTCCTCTTCAAATGTCCTCTCTAATGAAGCTGGTTTCAGGAGACGTGTACACTGTATATATTTATCTATAAATCATCATGCTTGTAGACGTATGAAGGCTTTTATACAATCAAATATACAGATTAAAAACAGTCAGTGAAACAGTGTGTCTTACAGTAATAACTGCAGAAGCAATCACAGAGACCAGAAAATGAAAAGTATAATTACTGTGGAAGCCAAACTGAATACGAAAAAGTGCAGCAAGTGGAATGAGTCATCATCATCAAAAAAAAAAAAGAAAATTCCATGAGCGAATCTCTCTAAATGGCTCTTCCTGTATTGTTATTGAAGAGATGTATTTTTCCCAGAATGTGAGAATTCAAATGAGAAAGGATGTGGCAGTGAACTGACATTGAATCATACAAAAAAGGAGACCTTTTTGACCTTTCACCCAGTTCACCCTTCGTCTTTAGTGGTGTTGTCTTCTAGATTGTCGTCACTGTCCAAGTTGCTGTGAAGCCTCTTGGCCATTGTGTTTCTGCTCCTCTCCTCCTTAGTCCCCTTGTTTAGATGAACCGGTAATGGTTTCACTAGTTAACGACAGAGAAATCAGAAAACAGTTTTTTTTAAAAAATATGGACGACAGAGAAATCAGAAAACAGTTTTTTAAAAAATATATGGTTGTTTAAACTGTTTATCAAATCTTACAGCTTTTCAACAACACAGTTTGAATCACTTATAAAACAGTCCATAATAAGGGTCCCGTGAGTGTTTGTCCTGGACATCGTTTTGATTAAATATTTCCCAATGTTACAAAGACCCAGTAGGTGGCAGTAACGTAATTAAGATCCACCAGTAAAACTTAAAAAAAAAGTAAGACTGTGGGTGTTAGCAGGGTTAGACGGCCTAACCCAGACATGGGCAAACTTTTTGACTCGTGGGCCACAGTTGGTCCTACAATTGAACAGGGTCAGGAGCGTTCATGTGAACTAAGATAAATGACATGTAAAAGTCATGCATAAAGGCTAAAATGCTTTTATCATATCGTATGCCGTCTTTTGGTGAAAAATGGGAGAGAAAAGGAAGAAGTATAATGATAATATAAATAAATTATAGAATTTGGGAACGTTTGTGCGAGCCAGATTAAAAAGCTGAGCGGGCCACATCCGGCCCCCCGGGCCTTAGTTTGCCCATGCCTGACCTTACCTCAGTGAACATGGACTCGTGCGTAATTAATACTGGCAAAGATTTAATGATTCAGTGCACAGTGGTTGGAATGAGGTACTACACAGAACTGTGGGGTCATTTTTAGCTAATTCTGGCTGTTGGTGGTCTATCAGCCAGTGGTCCAGACAAGACATGTGACACATAAAATTAGCACCACCCAGCAGTCAGGAAGAGGTACTGTAAGTCTCACAATACTGTGTGCTTGACTTTAAATACAAGATCCATAGGGAAAAGTTTTATCAACTCATTTTGCCATTTAATGGATGGTATGAAAACAATCCTTTTCATATACAGTCATAGACTATACGTGGCACCTTCTGAGGGAATAAACTGGTCTTCTCCAGCTCGGCCTCCATCGTCACCGTGACTCGTGCTGACCGTCTCTTTCTGTTCCTCATTTGTGACGATTCTCTGCTTCGCACTCTCAAAAACAGACTTGATGACTATTGAGTCCTCGTAGATCTGTCCAGGTGAACAGAGACACACGCATGGACAGGCATGAATCCATCCATTCACTCTTTCATTACTGCATGGATTAAATAGAAACTATGAAAATAGAAGAAGAATCCTCCTCAGAACTGACCTGAGATCCTTCCAGGTTGTAGGTCTGAGCGTTGTGACACAGCAGGAAAATATCCTTCTCCAGATCCCCCACGCTTCTGTACTTGTGATTGCGCACTCGTTCCTGTAAGCCAGAGCATCAGCACTTTGATTGGTTATATGTGAAATTAAATTTACAATAGTGTTAGGTCCAAGTTTCCAGTGTCCATTGACTACCTAGAGTCTGATTTAAAAGATGTAATTACTCTGGAAACCCTCGCTTGTTTAGTTGAACACAATGCTGACACACTCAGGAATTGAAGAAAGTCCTGTTTGTTTTGTTTTTATAGCCATCTGCTGTCACCTGGTGGAGGAGTATTCATTTGCAGTTTATTCCTAGGAGTGATGTCTGTCTGTTTGTTTTTCAGTTATATGTATTTTATCATGACTGATAAATAAATCTTCTTTAATTTACTACCTACGGTCCAAGTTATTTAGTCATAACTGTCAATAACACAGTCAACCTTAGCCCTGTTTACTCCGAGCCTTTCAGAGTTTGAGATGAACCCATTAGTGATAGCATTAGTGTGGTTTTACAGTGTTCTGTCGATTCCCTGAACAGTAGGTGTGAGTCAGACTTTATTTTAGTGTTTTTTATTTTTATCTGTGTATTTTCTAGGTAGACTAACAGCCCGCTGCTCCCCTTAGGCATAATATGGTTTTATTAAAATAGCAAAATTTACTGTGGCTGCCAGTGGTTCCGGCAGGGTGGTTAGAGCCTGTGCCTTTCAGAAAGAAGGTCAAAGGTTCAAGTCGTACTGCTCTTTCTGTATGGACTGCACTTCCTGCAGACCCTTGACCCACAACTATGAGGCGCTGTGATGGACTGGTGAACTGGTCCAGGTGTCAAACCAGTATTAAAAGTATGATGTATAAACAAGGTCAATCACATTTCCTTGACACTTAAAAAAACTGTTTGTACAGTGTGTTGTCGGTGCTGTAGTGTAGCGGTTAGCACACCTGCCTTGGAAGCAGAAAGTAGAGAG